CATCTTCTGAAGCTGCCATTTTTCTCCAGGGGAATTGACCTGTGTGGTCTGGAGATGAGTCATAATTCCAGGAGAACTCCAACCCCCACCTGAAGGTTGGTAACCCAAGCAGAGACCCTGATTTGTAAAACACTGACTTGTAAAGTGGGTCCCATCAATATTCAATTACTAGTATTCATAGCTTCAGTAAAAAGTGTCTTTATTGCTTCCAACTGGGAGAGAACTCTTACAGATGAGGAACACTAAGGCCCCAGTCACACGGGCCAGAAAACGCGGGGGGGAGGCGTGGCTCTTTGCGCCATTGCAATCTGATGCACAATTAGGCGATCAGACTTGACGGCGGCACACCGGGGCTTCCACTGTCAGCGCGTGCAGCAAAGAGGACGCCGGCGCGATCACACCACAGGAGTCCGGAGGCAGCCCGTAACAAACCATTTGCTGGTAGGTCAATCCGGGTAGCTTTTAACTACGCGGCTTCAGTGGCTTGCCACAGGTTGGCCACGGGAGTGCTACGCCTCCCAGATCGTGCCTGGAAAATCCGCCAGAGTACCGTGCCTTCAGTGGGGCAAATGCTCCGTGTGACCGGGCCTAAGTAGGGTTGCCAGGTCTCCCAGAAAACCCTTTTGTGGCCTGCCAGCGACTGAAGCACCAGCAGAAGGAAACTTATGAAAAAATAGGGCTGCACACCAACATCGTGACAGCGCTCTGATGTCAGTTTCACTGAAAACCAGAAATGATGTGATGATGTTGGGGGGCACTCTAGGATTTGTAAAAACTTTATGGAAAAGCTGCTAGAGATGGAATTAGCTTGAGAGTATATGTGTTAAACTGGTCCATTGAAGTGGCCTCCACTAAGTTTCTCATACAGCTAACTCTAAAAAGATTTTTCCCCTCCTGCCAAATTTATCTTCAAATATTAAGCTGTTATATCAGAAATTCACTGATTGGATATGTCCACTACTTAGTCTTGGGCCACAGCATACTCCAAACTCCCTGCAACCTTTTATATGTGTATGAAAAAAATCATATAGATACCGCTGTTCAGACCCTCATCCCACCTTGGCCTTATTCTAGAAACTACCGGCTGCAATGGAGACAGTAATATTTGGGGATTCAAATAACTCCCATACTGATCTGAAGATCAACATACCCCAGTGGAAAGAAAGAAAATCTATCATATCCTGCATGAACCTTTGGGATCCCTATACCAAAGAGGCCCACCTCTTAAGGATCTGCATATGAAGATACTGAGGTGAACAGGCAGGGTTTTTGGCATTCCAGCAAATACACAGCACTTGCTTTGGAAGTGACACAAACCTTGGATATTAATAATGCTCCACTTCTACTGGAATGCATCATTAGACCTCTTGATTTTGTTGTTTGCTTTGACCTTTCTGTATTTTATAAAATCAGTCTCACCATAGCACCAAGCATAAGCTGGTACCAGAAAACAAATTTTTCAAAGAGCCCCAGTGGAACACTGTCTGCATTACTATAAAAATACTGTATGTGTATAAAAATGTGTGTACATGTCACTGTATATAGATCAAACCTGGGAGGCCTGCCTGCCACAAAGTCTATATTGACACTCATCTGGATGACCTATATAATTTAGGAATATCGTAGACATCCTGCACATACACAATCAGGGGTTTTCATAGCCTTGTTTTCTCAACAGTCACATCACTCTCTAAATATGTGATGGAATACAGCTGCCTTTTTCATCCTGATGGCACCCAGTGACATTACTGAACTTCTCTGGAGCAAGAGCGCCAGGTACCTTCAAAACAAGCCCTCTCTTTGAACTATTCCCCTATAATATAAAGATGCCTAGTCTTAAACATTATCACCATTAACCCTCATTGGGATAATTAGCCTTGTTACAAAGAACTTCTCTTTGTAACAGAGGGTGTGCTTGTCTCCTTGGGGGATTGCTATCCCAGTGATATGGAGGGAACAGCACAGCAACAATCCACACAGAGAATCTGGCAGGGGTTCAAATCAAAAAGCAAAGTTCAGCAGTAATG